GATCCCTAAGCCCAAGAAGCGCTCGTCTAATGGGAAAAACAGATGGGTCAACAAGGAGTTAGCCAAGGTTTGAACTTGGATGAAGAATGATCGGAACAGGGAGGAAGGAAGTCTTCGTATGAGATGTGATATTTAAACCATGCCTAGCAGGATGAGTGGGAGCCAGATGGAGAAGGAGCAATGAGCGTGTGAAGCTATGTGGCGCCTTAATGGCTGCAGTTAGGGGTGCAGATAGGGAGACAGGGATGGTACGACTGTGAAGAAGCCATACTGTGGAAACGTTTCTCAGTTAAAAGCTAAGGAAGTCTTTCCAACAATTTTTTTCTGGGTAGTCTAAACTGTCAGCTTACTCTTTCATGGGATGGTAGGAGTCCCTGGGTGGCACAAACAGTTAATGAGCTCAACTACTAACCAACGTTGGAAGTTCAAGCCCACCCAGAGGTGCTGCCAAAGAAAAGCCTAGCAATCTACTTCCGAAAAATCAGCCATTGAAAACCCTACTCTGACACACATGGGGTCCCCATGAGGGCAGATTAAGAATACTGCAGCTGGTTGTGTGTGCCATCCAGTCGATTCCAACTCATAAAGTTCCCATATGACAGAGTACAGCTGCCCTGTAGGGTTTCCTAGGCTGTAACCTTTACGGGAGCAGATTGACAAGTCTTTTCTCCCGCAGAGAATCGCTGACCTTTCGGTTAGCAGCAGAGCTCTTAACCATTCCGCCGCCAGGGTTTCTTAATATATACCTGAGGATCAGTTAGTGGTTTCCACCTCCTTCTCCCCATCCCCACTTCTTCCTGCCACACAGCAGCTGCCTCTGGCCGCAGGAGACACTCGGATACACACAGTTTGCACCCCACACTTAAAACAGCTTCCAATAAACACCCACTTCCCTAGCTTTTTATGTATGAGGGCAAGGGTTTGACCCTCTCCTCCTCTGGGGATCTCAAGGCTTTCAGTAATTCAGGAGGTTTTTCTGTCAGAAATTAGCGTTCCATTTTACTACCCAGCCTGACGTTGGGGACTGGAGGATGAAGCATTCCGCTGCCACAAAACATTGGTGACTTCTCCAAGATCTCTAAAACAAACGTTGAACTAATTCTTCCTCCTCCGTCACATTCGATCCTAAACTGTGGCCCATGATTTAAGGGGTACTGTTTCTACTGAGCTACAAAAGATGAGCAGTGCTGTGTGACATGGGTTTACGTTTGTACGCCTGCGCCTTAGACAGCTGTGTACTTCTGTTCAGGGATCGTACTGATCCAGTGCCGTGTGGAGAAATAGGTGAGACAGCCGACAGTCCTGGAATTAACTTCCCCAGCTGTGAAATTTTCATTATGTTTTCAATAAGCATAAATAGTAGCTAGTTTGTAATGTTGAATTTTGTTGAATGCATACTTTGGAGCTATATTTCATAAAAAGATATCCAACAGTAATTAAGTTTATTTGCTTCAACTAAAGATTTTGCTGGTTAATCTCTGCATATTTGTTCACACTCTTCTTTCTTCCTGAAGTCTCCTTCCTCAGCATCCTGACTCCAGTCTAACTGTTCCCTTTGCCTTCTAGTCTATTTCCTAGGCCTTTGAATTTTCTTTTTTGGGTTCTTTGTCTTTTTGTATGTGTCCTCTTAATATTTTATTTTTTTCAAAATACTATATATACGTATATAGTTTAAAAATTCAGCTAGTACTGCCAGCCTTATAATAAAAAAAAGCAGATCTCTGCAACATACCACCCCAGAGCTGCTACTCCACACAGACACCTGTCAACTCTTTGGTCTCTTTTTTCTGATAGTTCCCTGATATTTTGAAATTATATGTTTACCCTACTTTTTCTTTATTTTAGACATTATTTATTGATGTCCTGCTATGAGGGATGGGTATCTGGCTCGCTTATACCCCCACACACACATTCTGTCTCAAGATAGTTATGTCATAATTTTCTTTAAATTAATATTCAATATTTATGATAATACATATTCACACTTGAGCCATGTAGATTATTATGTTTCTATTCCTTTTGAACAACTCTTTGTTTTTCCTGTAGTTGATAATGTCTTTTTTTTAATTTACTTAGTTTTATATACTTGTATTTGGAGCCCTGCTGGCACAGTGGTTAAGAGCTCAGCTGCTAACCAAAAGGTTGGCAGTTCGAATCCACCAGCTACTCCTTAGAAACACTATGGAGCAGTTCTAATCTGTCCTATAGGTTCGCTATGAGTAGAATTGACTCAACGGCAATGGATTTTTATATATATTTATCTCAATATGTAACTCCTATTTCAATATGGTCAAACACATCAGACAATCAGAGCAATCTAGCAATTCCCTTTTTTCTGTGCCTCCAGAACTCTGACTTCTGCCCCTATGCAGACTGGATCCTCTCTGGTCCTGCTGCACAGCTCTCCCTCTGAGACTTCTGCAATCCACTATCCCAAGACGTCCCTTCCCCTCTCTGGTGTTTCCTGGATGCCTTGCCTTCCTCTCAGTTTACTCCCTTACTATGGAGGAGCACATCTTCCAGTAGCTTCCTGAGAAAGACTGCTTGCGAGGTAAATTTCTGATTCCCTGAAGACTTGACAATGTCTATATTTTAATCGAAACATTGATTGTTAGTTTGAATGTCAATTGGTTTGACTGATACAGAATTCTGGGCTGAAAATGATTCTCCGTCAGAATTTTGAAGTCATTGCTCCATTGTCTTCTGGCTTCTGGAACTACTGAAGTCTCATGTCATTCTCATACCCAATTTTTTATTTGTGACCTATTTTTTCCCCCTCTCTGAAAACTTTGAGAAGTTTTTCTCTATTCCTCGTGTTCCACTATTTCATAATCTTGTGACTTAATGTGGGTCTTTTTTTATTATTAATTATTCTGGGAATCAAGTGGGCCCTTTCAATGTAGGAACACGTGTTTTTTTAGTTTGAAAAAATAATTTTGCATTATGTCTTTCTTAGATTTCTTCCCTCTGTTTTCTCCATTCTCTCTTTCTAGAACTTGTATTATTCAGATGTTGGGGTTCCTGGACTGGCTGTTTAACTATTTTATCTTTTCTTTCTTATTTTCATCTCTTTGTTCTACTTTCTGAGTGAATCCTCAATTTAATCTTTCAAATTTTCCTTTTATTTTTTATTTTATTTTTTCAGTCATATTTTTTATTTTCTAAAGTTCTTTCTGATTCTACAGTGTTTTTTATTCTGACTTTCTGTTCCTGTTTCATAGATGCAATATCTTCTCATATCTCTTACAGAATCTTAATTACAGATGTGGGGTTTTTAATTTAATTTTCTTTGGCTCCCTGCACCATCTCTCTTCTTCCAAGTTCCCTTTCTAATTTGTTTGGTTTGGCGCCTGTCTTTCATGTTAGAGGCTTTCCTTAAATATCTTGTGATCCTGGCTGTATTTCAGAATAAATTGCTAAAAACCTGATTGGAAGCCTGTGTATAATGCATGGAACTTGTCAATCTTTACTGTAAGGGAAATAGGAAACAATAATCGGCTGAGAGAGAGGGAAGCAGAGGAAGAGTTCACATTTCTCTCAGGAAAACAACTTACTTAAATTTAGTCAGTTGTTTGTATATGATTCAGACTCTGTTATTATTGTTAGGTGCTGTTGTGTTGATTTTAACTCATACTGACTCCACATGACAGAGTAGAACTGTCCTATAGCGTTTTCTTGGCTATAATCTTTACAGAACCAGATCACCATGTCTTTCTGCCTTGGAGCTGATGGGTGGGTTCCAACCACCAACCTTTTGGTTAGCAGTCAAGCGCCTAACCATTGTCCACTAGGTTCAAACTCTAGACCAACCTGTTTAGCACTTCAGAGCAGCTTGCTATCAAAACCTTCTAGAAATTATTTTCCTCTTATTTTAACCTTTTTTCTTTTGCTAACTATTGAGTATTCAAGGAATTTTTATGACAAAGATCCCACTTTTTTCTTCCTTCGATCCAAAGCAGAAAGAGAAAAGAAAACGCTCAATGGTATATGTTCCAGATCTTTATGAAGCTTCTGATAGTCTTAAAATCTTAAGGAAAAAATGTTCTGTACTCTCCTCCATCCATTCATTTATTCATTCATGCAACAAATAATGAAACATCTACCATAAGCCAAGTACTCTGCTGTCCTCTAGGGATATGACTGTGAACGAAACAGAAACAGTTCTTGCCCTCATGGAGCTGAAAGTCTTGTGGAGGAAACAGATGATAAACAAGTCAACCAACAAACAAATATACACTTACAATTTGTGATAAGTGCTTTGGTAAAATTGAACTGGGTACAATGACTATGAATAACCAGAAGATCTACTTACAGATGATGGCCAAAAGGCTGCTTGCTCCAAGGAGATAACATTTAAGCTGAAGCTGGGACCTTGAGCCCATTTACTTAAGTATTAACAAAAAATTAATAAAGTATATGCAAGAACACTTGATCAGCTTATTAATCTTCTTATGTTTCAAATCACCAAATTTTTCTTAAAATGAATAAACCCTCTTTTCTTTCTGAACACTTTAAGATGCATTTAAACAAAACATAAACAGGTTATTTAAGCAGAACATATGTAGTAGTTTTTCAGGAATTTTGACCTCAGTTTGCAAACGAAATAGGTTTTATGCCTTCATCAATATCCATGCCCCTATATTGTAGGGCTGTTCACTATTGTCATAAGGCAATATGTATACTAACTGTTTAATGAGAAACTATTTGTTCTATAAAACTTCCTCTAAGGTACAAAAAAAAAGAATTGTCTAAGTGAGATCAAATTGACAATAGCAACTTAAAAGGTTTGATGGGAAGTCTAGGGGGCAGTGAGTTGAAGAAAATGCTAATGGAATAATTTGGAAAGGGATAGTGAGAATAGCAGCACAACTGGAAGAATGTAATCGATGTCACTGAACTGTACATGTAGAAACTTTTGAAATGGTGTAACTTTGGCTATGTATATTTTCACCAAAAAAAAAAGGTCCTCCAAGGTCGAGAAGGGAGAGTGTTGACATGTCTTGGGGTTGTTAACCAATGTCATAAAACAATATGTGTACTGACTGTTTAATGAGAAACTATTAGTTCTGCGAAACTTTATCTAAAGTACAATAAAAAAAATTAAGGAAAAAAAATATATCCATGCCCCTTTCTCATACACACTTGGAGATGCTGGCATCAGGTATTCTGCGTTTGCAAAGACTTCTGTATCTCTGCATCTCACACGATGGCCGCCTTCTCGCATTCCTCCTCTTGGCTTCTTCGTGTGTCAGAGTCAAATCGATTTAATTCCCAAAGCTCCCAGGATCCCAAAGAGAAGAAATTCTTTCCTCAGGGAGCAGGGTAGGAAGGAGGCTGAGTGAATGATGACCACAGGTTAGAAACCAGGATAAAAGGAAGAAAAGAGAAGAAATGGGAAGACAGGGAAAACGGGAAAGAGATTTGCAGAGACAAAAAGCCAGAGGAGTGGACTGGAAACCCCTTTAGAAAACCGAGTATGAGACTATGTCCTCCAAGCCCCATAGAAAGCAGGGAAGAATGTTAATGTCTGAAGCCAATTATCATGCTTCTTCATGTCCCATAGCACACAACGCATGATGCTCATTAAACTCTTGTGCGATGCACAATTTTTTTTTTTTTTTTTTGCCATCTATTACATTTTATGTATTGCAGATACAGGGAAAAGTAAAAATGGGCTTTGCTCATGGCTCAGTGGAGGAGACAGACACGTCAACAAAGCCCATAATATCACATGCTCAGTTCTCTCCTGAAGTCTTTTATGAGGCATCACTGGAAGGCAACATGCAGATTGTGATTACTGTAAGTCACGCTATATTGTGAGTTTCCTGCGGGCTGAGAATTTATCCAGACCTCTTCTTTACTGTATCCTCAATGACTAGAACAGCACAGGGGCACATAATAGATGCTCAATAAACATGTTGCTAAAATGAGTGAATAGATGCTAAACCATTTTTGCTTTAGATCATGGGCAGACATCATAGGATTTTAAGCAGAAAAGTAGCATAAATTTTTCTCTGATTTAGAATTAACCCCTGAAGCAATCAGGATAGGGATGGAAAACACTAGAAACAGGGAGACTAGTTAGGAGGCTCCAGTAGCGGTCCAGGTAAGAAATAAAGGGAGAGTATAAACAATGGCTGCCTCTGGGTGGTGCAAGCTGTTTGTACTTGGCAGCTAAGGGAAAGGTTAGTGGTTTAAACCCGCCCAGTGGTGTGTGGAAGAAGGGCCTGGCAATCTGCTTCCATAAACATTACAGCCAAGAAAACCCTCTGGAGCGGTTCTACTTTGTAACATTTGGGGTCCCCACGAGTCGGAATTGACTTGACAGCAACGGGTTTGGTTTTGGGTTTTGCTGAGCCATGGCAGGTAGCAGTGGTGAGGAAGAGGAGGGGCTCTAGAGGACACCCAGCTTTCTGCCTTGGGCAACAGAAGGAAGCAAGGGGAGTGGAGAGAGGCCTGAGAAGGACTGTGATCAGAGAGAAGAGGTCAGCCCAGGTGGCTAAGGAGAGCATATCAACCGTGTCAAGTGCCATGGAGGAGCCCGGGATAAAGAGAACTGAGAAGTGGCCCCTGAATTGAACAACGAGGATGTCACCGGTGGGGAAAACCAGCAGCAAGGGGTTGAAGAGTGAATGGCTGATGAAGAACGGGAGATAGCAAACAAAGACCACTGTTTCAGAAGTAGGACTACAAGAGAAAGGGAGAGAGCGTGTTTGGTCTCACATGGTTTCCTGCCATGGCCTATGACTGAGTTGGAAGGGGCGGGGAAGCCAAGAGGCGCCATGCTTGCCCACCAGAGGAGCACAGCTTCAGGCCCCTCTCAGAGCTCCAGGCAGGGGAGGGTCTGAGTCTTCTCTGAGGACACATCCAAGGGGATTCTGGGATCCCCCTTCAGGGGGCTCTGCAGGGCTAAGACTGAGTGGGGATGGAGAAGCACCTTCCTTCAGGGAGTCCCAAGAATGAGCCAAATGTCCAGCTGCACCTATAGCAAGTGGAGGCATAGGGGACAATTGACAGACAGGTAAACAGAGGGAAGCTGTTGGGATGGTGGTTCCAGACCCCTCATCTCCTGGCACCCTAGAGACACTACCTGCTGCAGACTATCCTGCCCCTCCTTTTCTTCAACTGCTCCTAGAGCCCCAAGGAAGGCAGGCAGAGGTGCTGAGGAATGGGCAGAGGCTGCCCAGGATGGAGAGGGTTCCTGAGGAGGCATTTACCTGAGCAGAGGGGCCTGGCCGGGAAGGAGCGAGATCTCTGGCTGACGGGGTTCCTGACGGTGCAACGGTAGCTGTCACTGTCCACAGACCTCCAGGAGATGCTGAGAGTGGTCCCCCCATGGGACATAACTGCCCCCTGGCCATGGGGGTCCCAGCTGTATTGGACATCTTCTCCAGCCTGGTCTAGGGAGCAGACCAGCATGATGAAGCAGGTCCCAGCGTTCATGATCCGGGAGCTGACAGTGATGTTGGGCTCCTGCAGCTTCTCTGTAACAAAAAGGGAAGGCTCAAGCTATGAGAAGGCTCTGGTCTGGCCAAGCAAGGGTGAAGATAGGTTACATCCAACTGGGGGCCCTCTCCCCCACCTCACCATAGACACGCAGGGTGAAATCCTTGGTGATGTTCATCGGGGAAGTACGCAGAGTTATCTGGGCTCTGTAGAGACCAGAGTCCTGCAGTCTCAGGGAGCTGATCTGGAGAGAGTAGCCAGGGTGGGAGATGCTCAGTCGTCTGGAATAGGGTCCCTGAGTCTCAACAACCAGGACTGGTTTGCCTGCTGGTCCTGGTCTCAAGACAGCAAGAAGCCCCCGAGAGCTCCAGGTGATGTTTTCTACCTCCTGCCCCGCTGGGAACTCCAGGTGCAGAGTGGCTGACTCCCCAAGGGTGCCGATCACTGTCTCCCCAACTGTGGTTCCAGACCCTGCAGACAGAGGGGAAACCACAAACTCGGTGTCTCCCTACCCATTCTTGGGCACCCTGTCAGCTCCTCCTGCTCAAACCCCTAAAAGTGGTCTCCCTCCAACCTCCCCATCAGCTCTACCCCCAGGACCACCTGCTCTGCACTGACCCCCACCCACCCCCACCCCTGGCCCAGCCCCTCTCTCCCCAGGGGCTCCCCTTCATCCACATTGCCTGTCCACTCCAGAGCTGCTGCACAGGGCGCGTGCACAGGCTCCGGGCAGACTGAGGAGCCAGGTACCTGCACAGAAGTGTGGCACTGAGACCGGGTAGGAGCTGCTGTTACTGACTGGGTTCTGGACCGTACAGGTAAACATCAGAGCGTGGTCTCTGGGCCTCAAGGAGACACTGAGGACAGACCCTCCATGGGACACAACAGTCCAGGGCTCCAGGGGGGTCCAGCTGTAGGTCACGGGGCCTCCTCTGCTTTCTGCCACACAGGTCAGAATAAAGGTACAGTGTCCATTCTCACCCATTCTGGAGCTGAGGGTGACATGGGGCCGGGCCAGCTGCTCTGTGTGTGGAAAAAGGAATACACTGAGGACTGGGAAGCATCTCTGGGCCTCCCCTGCACAGGGCAGAAGGCACAGGCAGTGCCACCCAAGACCCTGCAGCATCCTGAATATACATGACTAACAACTGAGGCAGGACCTATCCACATCTGTGCTAGTGCTCCCCCTTCAGTTCCCATTATTCCCAGAACAACCCAATGAAGTAGGTAGAGCAGGTATTATTATCTACTCCATTTCACAGTCTCAGAGAGCTTACCACAACTTGCCCAAAGTCACATTAAGTGGTGAATCCAAGACCGAAATTGAGGTGGATCTGACTCCAGGGCCTGGGCCCCAGCCTGCATTGAATCGAAAAAGGCTATGTGTACTCGCAAGGGGCAGTGGTGGTGCGGCAGCAAAATTCTCCCCTTCCACAGGCTCAGTGTAGGCTTCGGTGTTGCTGTTATGCTCAACAGATTTCAGCTGAGCTTCCAAACTAAGACAGACTCGGAAGAAAGGCCTGGCCGTCTACTTCTAAAAATCAGTCAATGAAAACCCTATGGATCACAGCAATCTGATTCCCAACCTATCATGAGGATGGCGCCGCACCAGGGAGCATTTTGTTCTGTTGTGCCAGGAGTCGCCATGAGTCGGGGGCTGACTGGAAGACGATTAACAACAACATATTATGTACTCAAAAGCATGGAACTGTGCTGTAACTGTATCTTTCCCTAGGAGGGGGCCATACAGTCAACACTGAGCTTTCAGATGCTGAATAAGGCTTGGTGGGGGGGGGGCGGTGTCTCGGTCATCTAGTGCTGCTCTAACAGAAGTACCACAAGTGGATGGCTTTACAAGAGAAATTTATTCTCACGGTCCAGTAGGCTACAAGTCCAAATTCAGGGCATCAGCTCCAGGGGAAAGCTTTCTTCATCGGCTCTGGAGGAAAGTCCATGTCATCAGTCTTCCTTTGGTCTGGGAGCTTCTCTGCACAAGAACCTCAGGTCCAAAGGAAGCGCTCTGCTCCCAGCACTGCTTTCTTGGTGGTACGAGGTTCTCATGCATCTCTGCTCGCGTCTCTCTTTATATCTCAAAAGAGATTGCATCAAGACACTAATCTTGTCAACCTCATCAGTATGACCTTATCACAGTGATAGAATTTACAACACATGAGGAGATCACATATAATCTCATCATAGTGGTAGAGTTCACAAAACATAAGGAAATCACATCAGATAACACAATCATACAATACTGGGAATCATGACCCAGCCAAGTTGCTACACACATTTCTGGGGGGACACAATTCAATCCATGACAGGTGGGATGTGGCTCTGAGTGCTGAGGTTTCTCCCACTGCCTTGCACTCCCTTGGTCCTCCACCTCACCCTCTCTTCTCCTAAGACCACCCGCCCCCAGGTGCTCTCCTAAAGGTATTCACGTTGTTATTGGCCCACCTGCCTCCCCAGGCCACATGGGGGGCAGGGGTGGACGGAGACAGCAAGAGCAGCTGCAGAGACAGGGACAACCAAGACAGGCTAACAAAATCACAGAGTTTGGGAGAAGGCTGCTCTGCTAGACAGCTGACAGCTGCCCCAGGGGTGGCTCAGCTGTGCAGAATTGGACCCTGCAGGCCCAGAGTGACCCCCTGGATTTCCTCTGCTGGGTAACATTCTGCTGCCTCACCCCAGGGTGTTTTCTGCAGACTGGGCCCTGGGATCCAAAGCCGTTTTGACTTTTTCTGTAGGCCCTCTTCTCCTCAGCACCCCTCTCCTTCAGACAGACAAATATGGTGACAAACCAGAATTCCAAAAAGCCAGGGTGCGGGGTGCAGGGTCAGGGTGCCTGAGTTCTATTCCACTCTGCCACTTCGTAGCTCTGGGTCACAGGTGTGTCATTTTTTCTCTCTGAGACTCTGTTTCCTCAGCCTAGGAATAAAAACCCCTGTCCTATCTGCTGTCTGCTAGCAAAGCCCTGGTGGCCTAGTGGTTAAGAGCCTGGCTGCTAACTAAAAGGTCTGCAGTTCCAATCCACCAGCCGCTCCTTGGAAACCCTATGGGGCCGTTCTACTCTGTCCTATAGTGTCACTATGAGTTGGCATCAACTTGATGGCAATGGGTTAGGTTTTTGGTTTTTCGGTGTCTGCTGGCAGGGCTGTGGCGAGGCTCAAATGACCTGAGAAACACCCCAAGGATAAAAACCTGGCCCATTGTCATCTTTGCTGCTGCTGGGTGTCAGCCCAGAGGGTGGCTCTGAGGAGACCTCGCACACTATTCAGGGGACACAGTCTTCTCCTCCCAGATCTAACCCGGCACTGCTGCACACTGAGCCATTCTGCCAGGCTTGCCCTGACGTCCATCAGCATGGCGAGGGGCTCTCCACCAGCTCTGAGCCCACCCCAGTGAACAGTCCTACCCCAGGTCCCAGCAGACCCCACCCCATCACTGACCCTCATCCTGTGTGAGGAGCAGACCATCACCAGCCCAGGCCTGACTCACGGCCAAAATGTTTTCTCACCAACTGCATGAGCCCTGACCGTGTGCGATGCCATCACCTCCATGAAAAAAGAAGCCTTCGTGCAAAGGGAATCTTTCCCTTCACACAACCCAAGGAAGATGTCAGAAGAGGTTCTCTGCCTTCCCTCCGTCAGTTTTTCCGAGTTCATCCTCACTCATCATCTGTACCTTTCCCACCTGCCCACTTTCACTATAGGGGAGAGCTCTGCCATGGCATCCTGGTGACATGGCACATATCCATAGGGTCCAGGCAGGCCAAGCCTGGAGCCAAAGCTGATCTGAGTCTTGACAAAACACCTTGCGATCTTCCCGGGACACAAAAGGATGAGTGACCTGCAAGGAGCTCCTGCAAGAAGCTACCTCAAGGTCATCTCCCAATCACCTCCCTGTCTCCCCTGGGAGGCTGTCATGATGCAATGTCCCATCTCCTCCCGGGCTGTAACAGAGTGTGAAGTTTCCTGCAGGGTATGTTGCTGTTGCCTTAAGCCATCCAGCCAATTCTGACTTCAGGCAACACCCTGTGACAGAGTAGGCCTGCTCCATAGGGTTTTCTTGGCTGTAATCTTTACAGAAGCAGATCTCCAGGCCTTTCTTCCAAGGTACCACTGGGTGGGTTCAAATCACTAACCTTTTGGTTACCAGCTGAGTGTAAACCATTTGCACCACCCAGAGACCTTCCACAGGGGGACTGCTGCAGACTATAAAGCCACTTAGCTACATCCAGAATGGGGTCCTCAGCAGCAGGTTCTCTCATAACTCACAGTGCACTTTTCTGGCCCCTTTTGTTTGGGTGCCATCCTTTTTGGGGTGTGGGACAAGGACACAAAGGCCTGGCACTTTGGGCTACTCTTCCTTTCACTAACTATGTAAGTAATAAATTAAATCTAAAGTGGCTCACTCTATCTTTACCAGCCAAATCAGTCAGACCTCAGACTTGCTCGCTGCCGTGTGTTCTGGGCACCCATCCCTATTCCTTCTTTTATAGTTTCTCCTGCTTTAAAAAAAAAAAAAAAAAAGTTAACTAAAACAAAAAAAAATTATCCTTTCAGGAATATTATCCTTTAAGGAATATGATCCTTTACATCTGTGTAGAGCTTTACAAGCCTCTTTCACATGTATTTCTCTCTCACAAGAAGGTAGTAGTCCTATTTTATCAATGAGGAAGCTTAAGTCCACCCATGTAGGTGGTGGCAAAACCAGTTCTGAAGGCCTGAAACCCCATTCTCTATCCATTCCATATCTCAGAGTTCTGCTTCAGTTGGTCAGGGGCAGGTGCTGGGCATTGAAATTTTTCAGGAGATTCTCCCAGGTGATTCCACTTTAAATTTGTTTACAGTGAGCATCTATTACTCTTGCATTAGAAAGAAAAATGTAAATGTTATCAAAAAGGAGGCGGGAAAGGCTTTAAAAATGACTGAAGGACTGACACTGTCCCCTCCCTGGCCCCTGTCCAAGATACTCACCATAGACCTGCAGAATGTACTCCTGGGTGTGGGTGACGGGGGACCTCCTCAGGTTAACATAGGCTCGATAGGAGCCTGCATCCTCGCTGCTCAGGTTGCTAATCTGCAGAGAGCGGTCTTGGCCCGTGACACTCACACGGCCCCAGTACCGGGTTTCTGCCTGGTGAAAGATATCTGGTCCTCCAGCTTCTGCCAGGGTTACGCTGGCAATTGCCACAGGGGCCGAGCGGGTTGTCCAGGAGACGCTCCCCACCTGCTGTCCAGATGGCCACTTCAGGGGCAGAGTGACGGACCCCCCTAGGGTCCCAGTTACCACCATGCGGGCTGAGTCCTCTCGTGAAGCCCCTGGCCCTGCAGACACACAACAGGGGGAGGCTTCAGGGGCAGCCTGGCCAAGCCAAAGGGTCGCAGCCATCCTGAGAGCTAGTCAGGTAAAGGATTATTATTCCCATCACAGAACCCTGGTGGCACACTAGTTGAGAGCTAGACTGCTAATCAAAAGGTCACCAGTTCGATGAGTAGAGTCTGCGGTCTTAAAAGCCTGTGAGCGGCCATCTAAGATACTCCACTGGTCTCACCCGTTCGGGAGCAAGGGAGAATGAAGAGAACAGGATACAAAGAGAAGATTAGTCCAAAGGACGAATGGACCACAGCTACCAAGGCTTCCACCAGACTGAGTCCAGTACAGCTAGATGGTGCCCAGCTACCACCACTGACTGCTCTGACCGGGATCACAACAGAGGGTTCTGGACAGAGCTGGAGAAGAATGTAGAACAAAATTCTCACACACAAAAAAAAGACCAGATTTACTGGCCTGAAAGAAACTCGAGAAACCCCGAGAGTATGGCCCCCAGACACCGTTTTAGCTCAGTGGTGAAGTCACTCCCGAGGTTCACCATTCAGCCAGGGATTAGACAGCCCCATAAAACAAAATGGGACTAATGAGGCACAGCAGTCCAGGGACAAGGACTAGAAGGCAGAAGGGGACAGGAAAGCTGGTGATAGGGAAACCAAGGTTGAGTAAGGACAGTGTTGACATGTAGTGGGGCTGTTAACCAATGTCATAAAACAATACGTGTACTGACTATTTAATGAGAAACTATTTGTTCTGTAAACCTTCACCTAAAGTACAAGGGAAAAAAAAAGGTCACCAGTTCGAATCCACCAACTGCTCCTTGGAAACTCTATGGGGCAGTTCTACCCTGACATATAGGGTCACTATGAGTCGGAAGCAATTCAACGGCAACAGGTTTGGTTTCTTTTGGTTTATTAGCATCTTTAAAGATACTTAGGCATCACTGGAATAAGTTGGTGAACACCCTTTGTTCCCACCCTCATCAAAGCTAGTCAGCACCTTGTAGAGAAATTTAAAAAAAAAAAAAAAATCCTCAATAGTATGACCCAGTTCTGTTAGAGTATTTTTGCAACACAGATATGCAGTCCCATGAAATTGACCAAGGTCTGCTACACAGTTGTTTAGGGAGAAAAGGCAGCAGGGCTCAGGGAGGGGATCTGGGTCCTGATTCCCTTGGGATCAGGAAGCACTGGCTATATCACTGTTTCCTAGGCCGGGTGGTGAGGCTCTTTGCCAAAAGTTGAACTGAGAAGTAGTGTGGCCATCAGGGGCAGACTACCCAGGAAGCAAGGTAAGCACAGGCTTACTTGTGCTAACTTACTAATCTGTAGTGAACAATTTCACATGGGTTTCACCGGCTTACCTTACTTACTGGGTAATTCATTCCTGTCAGGGACTGTAAATTTGAAAAAAGGCTCTGATTCTGTAGGAAGGTGCTGTGGGGTTGGGAGAAAGACAGATGCCAGCCATAGTTAGAAGAAGAATCTTCAAAAAAGTGAAATTGTTCACTACAGACGATCTGGTAGCACTGTGCCTACCTTGCCTATTGGATAATCCACCCCTGGTGGCAATAACTGTGGTGATGGGGTGGGGGGTGGTTGCTGTCTGGTGGGAGTGTGCATGCTAGGTCGGGGAAGTGGCATGTCCCGATGTGCCCACCCCATAATCCACTCCACTTCTTGCTGTTCGTTTCTTCTACAGAATGATTCTGGCTCCACCTGGAGAATCGTGCGAACCAGGAGGAGTCATCCCAAAGTGGAGTCACAGCCGAAGCCGTGCTGACATCAGGAAGACCTTCGTCTCCTCCTGAAACATACGCTGCAGGAATTCAACCTTGAATAAGCAGCTCTGCTCGCCCTTAAGCCCCTCTAGTGCAGTAACTACGTAGGTCCCGCTCAGATGCTGCTTCCTTTCTGAAGCCTTATCTGAGTTCCAGATTGCTGATCCAGCCACCCTCCCCTGGTTTCCTCTAGCCTGTGCTTTTGTTGATTTGTTTTAAGTATTTACTTCATTCTGCCTCATATAATAGCTGTCTTGTGTGCCTTTCCCCATACCCCACAAGCTCCCCAAGGAGAAGAGAAAATGGAAGGGAATTAATACCTGATTATAAAGTAAAGTAAATGGAGTAGTTTATCCCAGCGGTTAGGTACAGTGGGGTAGGTGCCCAGCTTTTTGGTTTAAGTCCTGTTTCTGGATTCAGGGAAGGGGAAAGAGACACAAGGGAATCAGATACAGGACACAAATCCCAAAAGGCAGATACTGTGCCAAGTGCTTTATGCACTGTATTTTATTTAACCATCCCAATAAATTTGCAAAGTTATATATTATTCCCATTTTACAGATGAAGAACATGAAAACTCAAAGAGGTTAAGAAATTTGCTCTGTGTTGCAAAAATACTCTAACAGAACTGGGTCATACTATTGAGGATTTTTTTTTTTTTTTAAATTTCTCTACAAGGTGCTGACTAGCTTTGATGAGGGTGGGAACAAAGGGTGTTCACCAACTTATTCCAGCTAGGAAGCAGCAGAGTGCAAACGAAAACCCAGGTTCCCCCGATCCCAAAGCCCATGCCCTGTGTTCTGCAGCGGGGCTCTGCCACACTTAATTCCTCCCTGTGTCCCACTGCCTTGGCCCCACACCACACACACACACACACACACACACACACACACACACACACACAACATAGGCCTTGCACACAGGAGGCCTCAAAAACTTTCTAGAATTGAACTGAGGAAAGTTTTTTGTTTGTTTTTTTCACTTGCCTTTTTTTAAGGCAAGATTTGTCTTACTCATTCTTTCACCGTAGGCCCAAGAGTTGCCTCTGTGGACAGTTGCCACGAAGAGCCCATCTGGACACCACATAAGGTGGGAAAGCTCGCAGATGTGTTTGTTCAGTGACGGGAAGCCAACCCCTCAGTTTCAGTTCTGTGACATTTGTCGGGACATTGTGGTTCTCTGAAGCTTTTCGTGTGCCTTTACCTTCCCATGTCGGGGCTGCACTGACTCAGTTTCAGAGATTGCCAGTCACATGCCTAGAAGATGCCATCTAACCTCTCTGAGCCCCAGCCCATCATCTGTAAAATGTGGGTGATACCATCTGCCTTGTCTATATCACAAGATTGTTAGAAGGTGTCTTAGTCATCTAGTGCTGCTATAACAGAAACACTACCAGTAGATAGCTTCTAACAAAGAGAAATTTATTCTCTCACAGTCTAGTAGGCTACAAGTCTAAATTCAAGGCATCAGCTCCAGGGGAAGGCTTTCTCTCTGTGTCAGCTCTGGAGGAAAGTCCTTGTGATGCACCCGTCTTCCCTTGGTCTGGGAGCATCTCAGAGCAGAAACCTCAGGTCCAAAGGACGCACTCTACTCCCTGCACTGTTTTCTTGGTGGTATGAGATTCCCATGTCTCTCTGCTCACTTCTTTCTTTTATATCTCGAAAGAGATTAGCTTAAGACACTACCTAATCTTGTAGACCTCATCAGTATAACTGCCGCTAATCTGTCTTATTACATCATAGTGATAACATTTACAACACATAGGGAAATCACATCAGATGATAAAATGGTAGACAATCATACAATACTGGGAATCATGACCTAGCCAAGTTGACAGATATTTTGGGGGGACACAATTCAGTCTGTGAAAGGAGGATCAGAGTTTTTAAAATCTAAGTGAAAGTTCTTTATAAACTGCAAAGTTTCAAGTATATCTAAGGGTCCATCCGAGCCCTGGTAGCACAGTAGTTGAGAGCTTGGCTGCTAACCAAAAGGTTGGCAGTTTGAATCCACCAGCTGCTCCTTGGAAATCCTGTGGGGCAGTTCTACTCTGTGCTATAGGGTAGCTAGGATTCAGAATCAACTTGATGGCAACGGGTAAGAGTCCATCAGTACGTCAAGGGGACAGCCTAGAGGCTGGTGAGGGGACAACCCTGAAGGCAGGTGACCCTGATCTCCAAGGCTAGTTGGTTTTTCCCATAAAGAAGAGCAAAAGTGAAAGCTTAAAATTCTGGAAACCAGTCCCTCACCATGAATTTCTCAAGATCAATGTTCCTCTGGTTCTAGTTCCCAAGCCCATCTGCCATCATCTCTCAGGTCCCTGGGGAGTGGGGGTGAGTAGTAAGAATCTAGAAGGACAGGAATTCCTCTAGCTGCCAAGTTTGAGATCCCCTACTGAAGCTAATTATGACACATGGAGGGCCCATGTCATAAAAAGAGACATGAGAGGATCAGATACAGGACACAAATCCCAAAGTATAACATCCACAGGGGGCCTTAAAAACCTGAATGTCCCAGGGAACATGCTCAAGACGGCAGGATGCAGACGGGGGAGTCCTGCAACTGGCTGTGGCCAGTTCTCTGTCTCGCACCCACATCATTCAGCCTGTCCAGAAATGCCCAGGCTTCTTGGGATTCATTAGTAAAAGAAATGATATGAGGGTGACAAGGACACAGTCTGGGCTTGCATAATCTGAGCTTAGGGTGCACACACACACAGAGCCTGGCTCCCATAGAGGTAGTATCTTTGGTGAAATTTATCCATTCCTAGAACAAACCACTGTATGTGGCAGGTACAGGTGCCTGGAAGGTTGTGGCAAGAATGGACTTACCCATGAAAAGACCAAGGAGGAGCAAGGACCACTGTGGAGAAAGGCCCATACCATCCACCAGCAGACTGACCTGCCTCAAGACAGCTGATGACTGTGTATGGGTATGTATCAGCCTACAAACTGTTCCTCTTTTTAGAGTGTCACTACTTAAACCGGATGTCATTTTTGAGTCACAAGACTGAGGATGAGGAGGCATAAAAAGAAAGAATAGCGAGAGGAACCAAAAATCCTTTGCCGTTGAGTCAATTCCAGCTCATAGTTTCACTATAGGACAGAGTAGCACTGCCCTATAGGGTTTCCAAGGCTGTAAATCTTTAAGGAAGCAGACTGCCACATCTTTCTCCCACAGAGCGGCTGGTGGGTTCGAACTGCTGGCCTTTCAGTTAGCAGCTAAGTGCTTAAGTACTGCACCACCAGGGCTCCTTGAGAGCGACCAGAGTGAGCTATTTAAAAGCAGAGCTGACCGTGGCACATCCTTGCTTTAAACCCTTCAGAGGTCCCCCATACCCTACGAGGCTGAAGTCCGGGGTCATGATCCTGACCAGCTTGTTCCCTGCCAACCTCCCTGGCCTCATGTCCTGTCACCAAGTCTCATGCCTTAGACTCCAGTCACCGCACACAGCTTCTTATGATTGCTCACTTTTATAACTTGACTCATGTAGTTCAGCTTACTGGATGGCCCTAGAGTCCCTGGGTGATGCATCTATTAATGTGCTCTGGTGCTAACCAAAAGGCTGGCAGTTTGAGACCACCTAGAGATGCCTCAGAAGAAGGGTCTGGTAATCTGCTTCCAAAAAGGCAGCATTGAAAACCCTATGGAGCTCACAATAGCTAAAAAGTGGAAACAACCGAAATGTCCGCAACAGATGAATGGATAAACAAAATGTGTCACATACATGTAATAAAATACTACTCAATCATAAAGAGAAATGAAGCCCTGATGCATGCTACAACATAGGTGAACCTTGAAAACATCATGCTAAGCGAAATAAGTCAATTGCAAAAGGGACAAATACTGTATGACCTCACTTACACAGAATTAGCAAATATATAGACACCAAAGATTATTAGTGGTTACCAAGTGGGAGGTGGGAGGAAAGGGGGAGTTTTTGCTTAGGGAGTCTTGAGTTTATGTTTATGGTGGTGGAAATACTTGGAAAAGGATAGTGAGAGTAGTTGCACAACTCAAAGAATATAATCAATGTTACTGAATTGTACATGTAAAAATTGTTGAGATGGCATATGTTTTGTTATGTATATTTTTACCACAACACATTTTATTTTTATTTGAAAAAAAACCCTGTGGAGCACAGTTCTATTCTGACATACATGGGGCCGCCGTGAGTTGGAATTGACTTCATGGCAACTGGTTTGGTTTGGTTTGGTTTTTGGGTGGTCCTAGTCCCTGCTGCCTATCTCACCTACCTCACCCTAACATTCTACCATTCCTCACCTAAAGTCATCACTCCCCTGGGAAAGGCTTCCCCGAAGCTCCAGGTTAGGCTAGGAGCCTTCTTCTGGGCCTCTTAGGTCGTACTTACTTCTATCCTAACACCTATGATAAATTTTTGCTTATTTATAGACTCTTCTCAGTATCAACTCTCAGCTTCTTGAGGGTGGGGCCTGTCTTTTGCGTCTTTCAATTCCCAGTGACTAGCCCAATGTCAGCACACAGCAGGGGCTTAGCTCCTACGTGCTTGTTGAATGCACGGGGTGGGCACTGAGCCAGCAGACAGAGTAAGAGTGAGACTAGAATGGCCCAGGGACAAAAAGGGTGAAGGTTCAGCTGTTGACTATAGATTCTTTAGTGCAGAAACAAGGCTGGGAAAGATCAGAAGGCAAGAACTTTGGGACCAATTCTACCTTAAGCCACAAAGGACTGGGTGAGATATTATTTTGCCATCTTGCCCTTTTGGTGTATGGTGGAGAGAGTGGTGTGAAAAGGTCCTGATCCATGGCTGGATGGAGGGAGAGGGGAGAGGGGAGGTAGGTATGAAGCTTCCTTCCCCACCCCCTGCCTCTCCGCCCCAGATAGTCCTGATGGCTTTGCTGGGATATACAGACTCTGCTGACATCTCCATGAGGATGTAGCAACTCCTAGATGGGGACTGGGATCTCCTGTTGGCCCCCTGACTGCTCAGACTTTGACAAGTCCCTAGGAAGTGTCTCCTTGCACAGACTAGGCCTTCAGTGTGTGGAGGTCAGGAGCCCCAGAAAGACTTGAAGAGGATCTACAGGGCTTTCAAGACGGTCAGCAATGACCTCCCATTGGTAACATTCTATAGACACTTTGGTCCTTATCTTATGGGACCAACAAATGGAATTTGACACTGGGACCCTCCTTGCTTGATGTAATCTCCTTAGACTCCAAAATACCACTCTCACTGGGTTCTACTCACTCATGTATTCAACACACATGCATTGAGTTCCTGCGAGATGTCACACAGTGTTTAAAGCAAGGATGTGCCATGGTCAGCTCTGCTTTTAAATAGCTCACTCTGGTGCTTCTCACTCTTCTTTCTTTTCACGCCGCCTCATCCTCACATCTTGTGACTCAAAAACAACATGCATTTGAAGCGGTGACACTCTAAAAAGAGGAACTGTTTGTGGGCTGATACATACCCATACACAGTCATCAGCTGTCTTGAGGCAGGTCAGTCTGCTGGTGGATGGTATGGGCCTTTCTCCACAGTGGTCCTTGCTCCTCCTTGGTCTTTTCATGGGTAAGTCCATTCTTGCCACAACCTTCCAGGCACCTGTACCTGCCATGTACAGTGGTTTGTTCTAGGAATGGATAAATTTCACCAAAGATACTACCTCTATGGGAGCCAGGCTCTGTGTGTGTGTATACCGTAAGCTCAGATTATGCAAGCCCAGACTGTGTCCTTGTCACCTTCATATCATTTCTTTTACTAATGAATCCAAATAATTGGATTCTGTGTATCACAGGGGAGTACATCCACCTATCATCACAACTTCAAAGAAAGTCATTCCAGTGTCATTTACCTCTCAAAGCCTCCGTTTCCTCATTTCTGACCAGTTGCCATCCCATTAGCTCTGACTTATGGCGATTCCATGCATTTCAGAGTAGGACTGTGCTCCATAGTATTTTCAATGACTGTGATATTTCAGAAGATCACTAGGCCTTTCTTCCGAAGCACCACTGGGTGGATCCAACCTTTCTGTTAGTAGCCGAGTGCTTAGCCATTTGCACCACTCAGAAACTCCTAAAATGGAAATAATAGGAGTACCAACCAAACAGTTAATTTGAGGATTAAAAGAGAAAACATATGTGAAGTTCTAACACAAAGCCTCACTCATAATAATTACTCAATAATTGTTACTGGTTATTTTTATTATTATCAATATCTTTGAACCATCTTCCTCCTTAGTCCTCTCCTCCCACCCAGGCTGTCCCTGCTGTCATACTTTTACCTGGATTCCTTTAACAGCTTCTTTACCTGTCTTCTCATCGACAGTCTGCTCCCTTCCGTCATCCTCTGCTCTGCTGCTGGAGTAAGGTTTCTAAAAGAGGCCTTGGATCATGTCACACCTCTGTTTAAGAATACCTTCTGGCTCCTCATTGCCTTTATCTTGAGTTATAAGACCCTGTATCTGGGCTGTGGCACCCCCTCCTGACCACATGCCCTGTGTAAAAACGGTGTCACAGGCGGCATCTGACCTCCTCTAACTTCACGAGGAGAAAGGATAATCAAGATCAACAGCTCAAGGCTGATTCCTATGAAGCGGAGGTCAGACATGCCTCCTCTCTCCACCATCTTTATCAATTCTGACACAAACCAGCACTCCCATGGCACTCTCAACTTCTCTGCTGGATTCGATAATTCATTGCAATGGCCACACAGAACTCACAGACCATACTAACGATTATGGGGTTTATTAGGGAAGTAACAGGTTACAATTCAGATTCAGGAGTGCTCAGAATACAGTTCTTCCATCAGGACAGCCTTTGCCAGCTGTGCTCATAGACACGCCTCTCCCTGGCCCTAGGTCTCTGCCCAAAAGCACTCAGTTTTCTCTCACCATGGGCTGGGAAGCCCACCATGCCTTCTCCTGCTGCCAGGTCTCTGCTGCCGCTTCTCTACCACCTTCAGTGTTACAGCTCTCGGTCTCTCTCTCTCTCTCTGTCTCCTGGTTCCAGGAGCTTCTCAGCACACGGATCCCAGGTCCAAACGACATGCTGGCTCCTGGCTGTTCTTCCTTGGTAGTGTTGGAATCCTCTCTCTCCCGTCTCTGGGGTGGCTTATTTCAAGCCCAGTGGGATGGTAAAACTGACCAATCCCTTTGGTGGGCCACAATTACCATATCCACACAGTTCCACCCAATCACCTGGGTGGGAGTTACAAGACTATGGTTAGAAAGGCCACACAAAAGTGATCCATTGCACCACACCCTGAATCTCCCTCTAGATAGCCATGTTCAAGCCACAGGACAAGGACAAGTGTGAGGCAACGGAAGCACTTAGGGCACAAAATTTAAGGACTGTCAGGGCTGTGCAACAAACATGAGCTGACGATCATCCTCTGAAATGTTCTGTGTGGGCAGAAGCCTACTATCCTCTCTCTCCCTTCCTCCTCCTACACTGAGATCAAATTCTTACTAACTACGAAACTCTGAGTAAATTATTTAACCTCTTTGTGTCTCAGTTGCCTTATCTATAAAATGGGAATGACAAAAAATATCTATCTCATAAAACTGTGGTGAGGATTAAACGAGTTGATATGTGTAAAGTGTTAGAGGGGGGCTAGCACTCACTGAATGTTAGCTAAAACCACACACTCCATTATCCTGAAGTTTTCTTACTAAGTCCTCTAATGCTACAGCCTGAACAAACATGTAATCTGAATCTCAAAACACAGTAGGCTACTGTAGTTCAACCAGCTATTTCACTACCAGTAAAAACAAAAAAAGGCACTTTCTCAAAGCAGGTAAAGAGAATTTTGTTTCTCCCAGCCCATCCTTCTCAATTCAGCCAATTCCACAAATCTTACTCGCAGCATCCATTTCTAGTCAGTTGCCATATTTCCGTATCAGTTAAAAGTCTTTCAGTTGCCTGTGACGGTAAGCCAACACAAACTGGCTTAAGCAAAACAGAGAATTTATTGGCCCATTGTATTAGTTATCTATTTCTGCATGACAAATTACCCCCAAAACGTGTCAGCTTAAGACAATAAACATGTATTTTTTCATAGGTTCTGTGGGTTAGGAATCCAGGCACAGCTTAGCTGGGTGCCTCTGGCTCAAGGTCTCTCCTCAGGCTTTGATCAAGGTGTCAGCCAGGGCCTCAGCTATCTCAAGGCTCAACCAGGGGAGGGTTCACTTCCAACAGCACTTGTGTGGCTCTTGGCAGGCCTCAGGTCAACATTGACGGTTAGCCAGAGAAATCAGTTCTTCAGTGGGTGTTGGCTAGAGGTGTCCCTCAGTTCCTTGTCATGGGGGCCTCTCCATAGGACAGCTCATAACATAAAACCCAGCTTCCCTCAGTTCGAGCTAGGAAGAGAAAGAAAGTGGGCACCCGAGATGGAAGCCACAGTCTTTTTATAACCTATTCTCGGAAGGGACATCTCTCCACCTCTACCATTCTATTCACTAGAAGCAAGTCACTGAACCCAGCCTACACTGAAGGAGAGACTACACAAGGGCATGAATATACCAGGAGGCAGAGATCATTGGGGGCCATCTTAGAGGCAGCCTTAAAGACACCGATGTAACTGAACATTCCAGGGATAGATTATGCTTCAGTCATGGTTTAAGCAGGTGCTTAAATGATGTCACCAAAACTAGTTTCTCTGTCTCCATTTTTTTTACCCCACCTCTTCTGTGTTGACTCCATTCCCAGACAGGGTCCCATTCTGTGGTCACTAGACGATTGCCAGCACCTGCCAAGGCTACTTCCTTCTAACTCAAACCCAACACAGAGAAAGAGAGAGAGACTACTTGTCCCAGAATTCCCAAGAACGTTGAGTTTCATTTTATTTAGACAACTTAGGCCAGGTACCCACCTGGGAAGCAGGAAGTGGTCACCGTGGCCAGAGGAATGCAATGTTCTGATTTGCTTAAGTCAGAATCATATGACTCTGAGGGGGAAGCCTCATCTACACCATGTGGACTGAGAGATGGAGAAGATTGATCCCTAAGTAAAAATTTGATCTGTGGCCAGAGGTAAGGAAAATAAACAATAAGTCCCCCGCAGACAATAGGGGAAAGAAGATAGGCTCAGTGTGAGGGCGTTGAGTGTGCCACCAGGGAAATGTTCTACATTTACAAGAACACAGCATGTCTCAAATCTTCACCTCAGACAGAGAGGAAGTGACAGAAAATGCAGAACAGAATATAGAACCCAAGTCATCTGACACTAAACTAAAGCAAGTAATGCTCAGTATGGTATTGCAAGTCCCATGAAGGCCCTGAATTGACTTGGGGGCCCTACCGTAATGTGAGTGGGTAGGAGGAGTCCATGGTGCAGGCTCTAACCCACCCTTTCTGGAGCACACATACACACACACGCTAGCGGATGTTGTGGTAAGTGCTTCCTCCTCCAGCCTGAGAACTGAAAGTAGATCATCATGGCGAACCCAAAGAGATATACAGATGACTGTGCTCTAGGACCTTTCTCCACCAAGTCACAGAAGACTCTGTCGTACATATTTTCTCCCACTCTATGGACCCCTCTCCTCTTCCTGCTCATGGGTAAGTCCACACTATGCCCACCATGGTTTACTATTTGTGTTTCTCTGAGGCCAGTCACATTCCCTGACTGAGGGGTTCTTGTTGATAACAATCCAGGAAACTCCTCTCCTTTTGGTAATTACTCTGCAAGTTCCACTTTATTCTGAGTCCTGCGTGCGTATGTTTATTTACTTATGTGTATAAGTATGTGCATATTCACCTACCATGAGTAGATAGCATTCTAGTCCCCATCTCAGATAACTCTAAGATCAGACTATGTTCCTCTCACCTTCACATTTTTCCCACTTAAAAAAAAGAAGAAGAAGAAAAAGAGCCAAGTGATGGGTTTGTTCCTCTTCAATGTGGATGAAAACCACAGTGAGATCCAGGAAAATATCTCTGATACCAAGTCAACTAGCAATTTCCTAGGGAGGGATAGAATTGCTGGAGCTTCTTTCTTCATCTTGCCTTGTTTATCACATATGCTGGACTACTCAGGCTTCACTGGGAACTTGGAGATAGTCTGGTAGCCCTTGGCTAGGCGACCTCTACCTGGATATCCTTTTCTCTCCAATAACCTACCTTTCCATCAAGGCCCAACCCCTGCTGGTTTCTGGGAAACATCTCCCAGCAGCAGGGCCTGGACCACTACTATCCAGTAGGCAGAGCTGATCCAGGACTCCATCTCTGCCCCCAGGGAGGATCTGAGGGACCTGGGATCTCAGCCATCTGGGACTGTGGCAGCTACAGCCCCTCTGGGATCTACTTTCCTCAGGGCCCTGAAGGATGGTACAGGTAGCACCAGGGGCTTAGGAGCAGTTGGTGGAAGGAGGCAGGGGGAAGCACTAGAAAAACTCCTAGATGCATGGATGGGGAACGGGGAGCCTGGACCTCAGTGCTAAGCAACAGGAAATCCTATGCTGACCTCTCTTCATTTTCATCCTTGCTCACCCCAAAAATACAGAAAGTAGCAGGCTGTTTTATCCACATCCAACCCTTGAGGTGCACCCTGGTTCTGTTGGATGAACCTGAAATAAGCTACATCCTATGTCATCCAAGCTTCAAATGACCAGCACAGTGAATTTGGAACAGTTCAGGGCAAAGAGGCATCCCCCTCAGTCTGGCTCCACAGATTGGGGTGACTTCACACCTTCCTCTTTTGGTCGAAAAGGGAGTTATTTCAAATGTTTTCAGGAGGCAGTAGAGTGAAAAGACCCCTTATTTTAGTATCAGGAACATTTAAAGTTAAGTCCTTACTCCATCATTTACCAGCTGTGGGAGTCTCTGTTTCTGAAGTGCATAACGGAGTTATTAAGATGTATCATGCTGAATTTTTGTGTATGTGTGCTTTAGGTGAAAGTTTACAGAGCAAATTAGTTTCTCATTAAACAATTAATACACAAATTGTTTCATGACATTGGTCACCAACCCCGTGATGTGTCAACACTCTCCCCTTCTCCATCCCGGGTTCCCTGTTCCATTCATCCAGTTTTCCTGTCCCTTTCTGTCTTCTTGTATTTGCTTTTGGGCTGGTGTACCCATTTAGTCTTGTATACATGACTGAAGTACGAAGAACATTCCTCACATGTGTTATTGTTGGCCCTATAGACCTACCTAATCTTTGGCTAAAGGGTGAACGTCTGGAGTGGCTTTAGTACTGAGTTAAAAGGGTGTCCGGGGCCATAGCCTTGGAGTTTCTCCAGTCTCTGTCAGAGCAGCAAGTCTAGTCTCCTTGATGTGAATTTGAATTTCATTCCACATTTTTGTCCCGCTCTGTCCAGGACTGTCTATTGTGATCCCTGTCAGAGCCGTCGGTGGTGGTAGCCAGGCACTATCTAGTTGTTCTGGGCTCAGTCTGGTGAAAATTGTGGTAATTGTGGTCCATTAGTCCTTTGGACTAATCTTTCCCTTGTGTCTTTGGTTTTCTTCATTCTCCTTTGCTCCAGCCGGCATGGGATCAGTAGAAGTATCATAGATGGCTGCTCACAGGCTTTTAAGACACCAAACACTACTCATCACACGCAGAAGTACAGAACATTTTCTTTATAAACTATGTTATGCCAATTGAGCTAAATGTCCCCTGAGACTATGGTCCCCAGCCCTCAGCCCATTAACTTGGTCACTTGGGGAGTTTGGATGTGTCTGTGAAGCTTCTATGACTTTGTCTTGGTCAAGATGTGCTGATTTCTCCAGTATTGTGTACTCTTACCCTTTACCAAGTTACCACTTATCTACTATCTAGTTAGTGTTTTTCCCTCTCCACCCCTCCCCTCCTTCATAACCATCAAAGATTATTTCTTTCTGTGTGTAAACCTTTCCATAAGTTTTTATAACAGTGGTCTCATACAGTATTTGTCCTTTTATGATTGACTTATTTCACTCAGCATAGTGCCCTCCAGATTCATCCATATAGTGAGATGTTTTGCAGATTCATCATTGTTCTTTATCATTGCATAGTACTCCATTGTGTGTTATGTAACATAGGTTGTTTATCAATTCATCCATTGATAGATGCTTAGGTTGTTTCCATCTTTTTACTACTGTGAATAATGCTGCAATGAACGTGAGTGTGCATATGTCCATTCGTGTCATGTCTCTTATTTCTCTAAGATATATTCCTAGGAGTGGGATTGCTGGATCATATGGTAGTTCTATTTCTAGCTTTTTAAGGAAGGGCCATATTGTTTTCCAAAATGATTGTACCATTTTCCATTCCCACCAGTAATGCATAAGAGTTCCAATCTCCCTGCAACCTCTCCAACATTTGTTATTTTGTTTTTTTAATTAGTGCCCATAATGTTGGGGTGAGATGGTATCACATTGTAGTTTTGATTTGCATTTCTCTAATGACCAGTGATCTCGAGCATTTCCATCTCGTTAAAGAATGCTGTTGGTATTTGGATCGTGATTGCATTGTATTTGTAGATTGCTTTGGGTAGAATTGACGTTTTAACAATATTGAGTCTATCTATCCATGACCACAGAATGTTTTTCCATTTATGCAGATCTCTTGTGGTTTCTTGCAATAGTGTTTTGTAGTTTTCTTTGTATAGGTCTTTTAAGACCCTGATTAGATTTATTCCTAAATATTTTATTTTTTTAGGGGCTATTATAAATAGTATTGCTTTCTTGATTTCCTTTTCATGGTTCTCTTCATTGGTGTATAGGAATCCAACTGATTTTTATATGTTTATCTTGTATCCTGCTACTCTGCTAAATCTTTCTATTAGTTCCAGTAATTTTCTTGTGGAGCCTTTAGGGTTCTGTATGTATAGTATCATATCATCCACAAACAGGATAGTTTTACTTCTTCCTTACCAATTTAGATGCCCTTTATTTCTTTTTCTTGCCTTATTGCTGTAGCTAGGACTTCCAGCACAATGTTAAATAGGAGTAGTGATCAAAGGCATCCTTGTCTTGTTTCCATTCTCAGGGGAAATGTTTTCAGCCTTTCTTCATTGAGAGTGATGTTGGCCCTTGGTTTTGTATAGATGCCCTTTATTATATTGAGAAATTTCCCTTCTATTCCTATTTTATTAAGAGTTTTTATCAGGAATGGGTGTTGGACTTTATCAACTGCTTTTTCTGCATCAATTGAGATGGTCATGTGATTCTTTTCTTTTGTTCTGTTTATGTAGTGGACTACATGGATTGATTTTCTAATGCTGAACCATCCTTGCATATCTGGTATGATTCCCACTTGGTTGTGGTGTTTTTTGTTGTGTTTTGTTTTGTTTTTTGTTTGTTTGTTTGTTTTTCTTTTTAGTATGATGCTGAATTCTATTGGCTAGAATTTTGTTGAGAATTTTTGCATCTATATTCATGAGAGTTATTGGTCTGTAATTTTCTTTGTGGTATCTTTGCCTGGCTTTGGTTTCAGGGTTATGCTGGCTTTATAGAATGAATTCAGAAGTATCGCTTCCTTTTCTATGTTCTGAAGTAGTTTGAGTAGTACTGGTGTGAGCTCTTCTTTCAATGTTTGGTAGAATTCCCAAGTGAAGCCATCTGGGCCAGGGCTTTTTTTGTTGGGAGTTTTTTTTTATTACTTTTTCAGTTTCTTCTCTTGTTATGTGTCTGCTCAGGTTTTCTGCCTCAGTTTGTGTGAGTTTAGGTAGGTAGTGTGTTTCTAGAAAATTGTCCATTTCCTCTAGGTTTTCAAATCTGTTAGAGTACAGTTTTTCATAGTACTGTGTTACGATCCTCTTTACTTCAGTTGAGTCTGTTGTAATGTCCCCCATTTCATTTCTTATTTGGGTTATTTACATCCTCTCCTGTTTCTTATTTGGTAATTTAGCCAATGGTTTGTCAATTTTGTTGATCCTTTCAAAGAATCAACTTTTGATTTTGTTTATTCTTTCTATTGTTTTTCTGTTCTCTTTTTCATTTATTTCTGCTCTGATCTTTATTATTTCCTTTCTTCTGGTGGCTGTGGGCTTCTTTTGCTGTTCTCTTTCTATTTTTTCAAGTTGTAGGGCTAACATTTTGATTTTGTCCATTTCTTCTTTTTTGATGTCTGCATCTATTGTTATAAATTGACCCCTGAGCACTGCCTTTGCTGTGTCTGAAAGGTTTGGTATGATGTGTTTTCATTCTCATTTGATTCCAGAAATTTTTTTATTACATCTTTGATTTATTCTGTTACCTAGTGGTTTTTAAGCAAGGTGTTATTCAGTTTCCATTTTTGATTTTTTTTCCCTTGCTCTTCTTGTTATTAATTTCTTTTTTTATGATGTGAGCAGAGAAGATGCTTTGTATTATCTCAGTGTTTTGGATTTTGTTGATGGTTGCTTTGTGGCCTAAGATGTGGTCTATTCTGGAGAATGTTCCATGTGCATTGGAAAACAATGTATACTTTGCTGCTGTTGGGTGGAGTGTTCAGTATATGTCTATGAGGTCAAGATGGTTGATTGTGCCCTTTAGATCTTCTGTATCTTTGCTGAGTTTCTTTCTAGATGTTCTGTCCTTTACTGAGAGTGGTGTGTTGAAGTCTCCTACTATTATTGTGGAACTGTCGATTTATC